AACGTTTCAACCGTGGTATTATTGGAGCATACCACATCACCTTGGCAGGAATCTTCTTCGTGGGGCGCTCGCCCTCGACATCACCAGGGTCATCGCGACTGATCTTATAACGCAATGCACCGCATGCCGGGCAAGCGTTCAAATCCTCGTACTCACCGCGATAGAGGATGCAGTCATTAGGGCATGCATGTATCTTCTGCACCTCTAACCCTAGAGGGCAGACAACCTTCTTTGCTTCATATGTACTCTCGGGTAATTCGTTGTCCTTTGGAAGCATGTTCTTGATCATTACCAGCAACTTTCCAAATCCCTTGTCAGATACACCATTCTCTGCCTTCCATTGCAGCAATTCCAGTGTGGTGCCTAACTTTTTTTGTCAACTTCGCAATTTGGGTACAACAATTTCTTGTGATCCTCTAACATGCGCTGCAACTTCTTCTTCTCCAAATCACTTGCGCAGTTTCTCTTTGCATCGGCAATGGCCCGACCTAGATCATCAGCGGGCTCATCTGATGCCTCTTCTTCAGCTTCTTCCCGCATTGCCGGCTCAACTTCTTCCCCTATTGTTGTATCATCGTATTCAGGGAACCCATGGCCAGGATAGCTGTCGTCGTCCTCTTCTTCTTCATTGTCTTCCATCATAACCCCTCTTTTTCCATGCTTGGTCCAAACAATATAGTGGGGCATGAAACCGGACTCAAATAGGTGGACGTGAATGGTTCTTAACGTAGAGTAATTGTGACCATTCTTATAGCCAGCACATGGACAAGGCATAAAATCATCCGCTCGCTTGTTTGCCTCAGCGGCAAGCAAAAAAGTATGCACGCCATTAATGAACTCGGGAGAGCATCGGTCATCATACATCCATTGTCGGCTCATCTTCATTACACAACACCGAATAGACCAAATTAATACAAGTTCATACATAAAGTTCATACATAAAGTTCATATACAACACTTAATTAAATGCAACATACAAATAACTCTCTAGCTAAAGAATTTAAATGTAACAAAAAATACGATCAAGATCGCAACTAAGGTACCAAGCCACACTATCGATGGCATATTTTTTAATCTTTCTAATCTTCAAGCGCATTTTCTCCATCTTGATCTTGTGATCATCGACGACATCGGCAACATGCAACTCCAATTCCATCTCCCCCCCCTCAATTCTTTTCAATTTTTCTTTCAAATACTCGTTTTCTCTTTCAACTAGATTTAACCTCTCGATAATAGGGTCGGTTGGAATTTCCGGTTCACATACCTCCTAGATAAAAATATCTATGTCAACTTGATGGGCATAATTTGTCATAAACACGAAATACAACAAGTAGTTTTAAAAGAGAATATACCACATCCGAATCATAACAAGGACGAGGGCCGACGGGGACGGATATGAAAACCATGGCACTATGTATAACAAACAACGTACGGGTCAGATAATTATACGAGTAACTATATATCCAAATCACACAAACATCAATTTGGTAATGTAAAACATTCATGAACAAGAGCCTCACCACAAGGTGGTGTCGGCGACGGGACGGCGCGGGCGATCGACGGTGGTTACGACGGAGATTTAGAAGGCACTAAGTAAACCACACCTACATATGCAAACTAAGAGTTATTTTTGACCTCAAATTGCATATAAATCAAATACTAGCACATATAATTCCTCCCAAATTACTAAACTCATAAATTAATCACTATACAAAGCATTGCAAGAGCTAATCTAGCAATGAGAGATGAAAGGACAAAGTTGCTAACCTTTGTGATCATTTGAATGGATGGGGGCCTTCGAATCTTGACAAATTTTGGGCAAAATGCGTGATGAGGTCGAGGAAGAGAGGGGAAGAACAGAGGAGAGGAGAGGGGAAAGGGGAAGAACAGAGCGAGCTCGGGTGGACGAAGGGTTTATGTATGACGACCTTTAGTACCGGTTCGTGCCACGAACCGGTACTAAAGGTGCTGGAGGGGCCCAAGACTGACAACATCCTGCCACCACTCTCTTTAGTACCGGTTCATGGCACGAACCGGTGATAAAGGTTCGTCACGAACCGGTACTAATGAGAGCTACCGGCTAGCCGTTGGAACCGGCACTAATGGACACATTAGTGCCGGCTCAAAATCAAACCGACACTATGTGCTTCACATTTGACCATTTTTCTACAAGTGGCTAGAGACTATTGTATAAAACTTATACAAATACAAAGGAAATATGTAGAAGAAAAAATATTCGTAAACTAATAATAGTAGAGTGGGGAGTGTGTGTAGAAGCAACGTGGTCTTAGCAGTAGCGGGCGCGAAAATAGAGCGCTACAACTATTAGCAGTAGCGAGGCCGTGTAACAAGCGCTACTGCTATATATAGATATCAGTAACACGGGCTAAGGCACGCTACTGCTACAAGTTAGTTGTAGCGTCGTCGCAGTAGCATGGCTGCCCACGCTACTGCTAGGTTTTTGGCCCGCGCTACTGCTAGGCTTTTTTCTAGTAGTGCTTGGTGAAAATATAACTTTGAAATATATACAATTGCTATATTTCCTAGTTCTTAAGCATTATTGGTTTGGATAATTGGCTTTTCCGTATGGCTCAAATTAATCTATTGGATCTACAATGTGTTTATTGTCAATAGCATATTTTACTGATAGTATGCCAACTCTCACTTAACCTGATTAATATCTATCTTATATATGTTGCAGGGAAACAATATGAGACACTGAGGTTTACCATCAATATTTGCACATGCATGGTCCTTTAGATAATAGTATATTATTGTGCAATTGCCGGAATCATTCTAATATTTCGATTTTTAATAATTTGGTCTTGCACATGTAGGTCATGTTGTTTGACCCATTTTGCATACGGAGAAATGAGATGTCCATGAATATTTGTCAAATCAAGAAACTCAAAAAAATCGTTAGGATATAGAAACTACCGAGTAAAAATAATAAGATCTTTATCTACACAGTGAAGAAGACATCAGTCAACTATAGGATGGTATTAACTCTTTTATCTTATTTTTTATCCTTTGCGCTATTTCAAAACCAGAAAAGATATTTATGCATATATTTGTTTTCAGTCCTTTCCAAAGTAGTTCACTGATGATTACCTCTCGAACCACCTGTATTGTCAAGTGGCAAGAAAGGTATTCATATAACCCCCATAGTATAAAATTGAAGTCTTTCTTAAGAGGACGAAGGATGGGAAAGGTATTCATATAACCCCCATAGTATGAAATTGAAGTCTTTCTTAAGAGGACGAAGGATGGGTGAGTTATCATTCACGGACACTCGCCTAAATTTGCAAGGATCTTTAACATCGTTGAAGGATCAATATTTGCCTTCAACTTTAGCAATCTTTTAGATAAGATTTATGTGTCTATTTACCGTCTATGATGCTACTTTTCGAAGATTTTACATGTTGCACATGAAACTTTGTGCTATTGTGTAATTGATAGCTATATGGTGTGACTAAGTACTGAAACTATATGACGGTGTACTCTGATGTATTTTAATTATGAAATCCTGGTTGCTGTAATATGAATATGAAATATATTGTGTGTTTGATATGAAATGTCAATTTGATTACTATCTGCTTATTGAGCTTTCTATTTCAGATGGTATCTAAGATAACACCGTCGCCGATGACCTCAACAACCCACATAGTTTCTCGAAAGTACGCGTGTGAGATGAATGAACAATCACAGACGGCGGTCTACCGACAACCATTTGCGTTAGGCTACCTTACACAAATGTTTCCACACAGAAAGTGTGTGTGAGCCCTATGTCATACAGTTTTTTGTACGCACCGTGGCTGATATATTGAGCGCGAACTATAATATTATCGATATCATCTGTGATGACTACACTTATCACAACCGTACGAACGGAGATGTTTGTTTGAGATTCACTATGTGGGATGTTAAGAACATCTCACATGATTTCCCATGCATAACTATTTGCAATGACTCACCTGATCGCACACGGCTCTTTTTGCCCCGCATGTGTGACCGGACAAGTTATTGCCGACGATTTCTCTAGGTCGTGTGGGATGGAGCCCTCTATCGCCCACACATGCAAAATGACAATTTAAAACTTCTCACGTAAAGGGGATAAAATAGTGTGCATAGAAGTCGTCTGCACTAGTGACACGGTTATAATGGATGAGCGTAGATACGCCAACTTCCTAAACACGCAATTCTACATGCCCAAAGAAGCTAGTGAAGATGGCATCGAAGCTTGGCCGTCCGCATTGCATGCCCCAACTGTAGGTCGTCAGCATCTGGTTGGGTCTGAATCCGGTGACTCACCAGTTTGTCACCGGGCATAGGGTTCGAAATCCCTCTGCAGGCGATCACCTCGTCTCTGGTGGGCTCAGCAAGACGTGGCCGCCTACCAGGTGCCCTACTATTCCCACATCGGCCGGTGCTGCCGCCCGCAACGGCGCCATCGTCATCTTCGGACGAGGAGAGTGAGGTGAGGCCGGCTGTTCGGGGCTTGCTACTGAAGTAGCATCAAGGCCTTCCCCGCCAATCCCCCATCCCACCTGTCAAGAAGGTGGTAGGCGCCTGGACCGGCGTTGACAGCTGCCCCGCATGTGTGACCAGAGAAGCTACCGCCGACGATTTATCTAGATCATGTGGGATGGAGCCCTCTATCGCCCACACAGGTAAGGCGACAATTTAAGACTGTGTCACGTAAAGGAGAGAAAAATCGTTTGGATGGGACTCGTATGCAGAAGTGACGGTTAGAATGGGTGCGCATAGACACGCCAACTTCCTAAACATGCAATTCTGCATGCCCAAAGAAGCTAGTAAAGTTGTCATCGAATTGCATTTGGAACTTCGAATAGAGTTCCTCCTCGATTCATAAGAACGTAGTGGTACAGGCTACAAGATGTAAGTAACAACAAGCAATGTATGACCTCATACACTACTATTACTACCACCACTACTCTTGTCTTCCTTCCAGCTCGGAGCTCACTGCCAGTTCCTCTCCGTCAAGAGGTTGAACGATTGGGTCTCGCATAGACACCAATTGCATGAACAAATCCCTCTGCACGTGCAAAAAACCCAACTATAGCCCAATTGCTTTCCAATTTGATGCGGAAAGGATCTCCTGCTGCCAGTCCTGCCAGACCAAAAGGTCCATGTTCTTCCTCATTGGTGACAAACTTAAGTGATGTTATCACATCGGACTGTGAACATGAATATGGTCCAAATTTTCCAGAAATTTCTGTCAGGAACTCCCGTGGTCCAAGTTTGATCTACAAGAGAATAAAAAAGGGTAACAAGTCAGATACAAGAGTATTTTTTTATATAGATATGTACGTATATATATATATGGAGTATAACTTAAGGCTGACATAGATTACAAAACTCAGAAAAAATAGGTCACTCCCATCAGTTCCGGGTAGACAAAGAGCAAAAATTAGGTTTCTACGATTTCATTCACTCACCGTAGTTTGGAAGGTACCACCAGTACCACCCCATGGACCAACAATGTGTTGATGCCCACTATGATCGCTATATGTAAACTTAAATGAATCAATTACATCGCCCCAAAGAATTGTTACGCTATGGAGCTGGTGGGATGCCGCCTCAATGTCATGAGCTGTCCCAGCATTTCCTCCCCATGGCCCATACTGCAAACCAATCAAGAAAAAATTTGAAAGACAAAAACAATGAAGAGTAAATAAATAAATATTAGAAACTGGGAAACCTTCTCCTGCTCTTGTTCTCCTTCATTTTCTTCTTCTATTGCTCTGTGAATCGGGGTTTCTATCTGTTCCAACAGCTCTTCTTCTTCTTTTACTGTTCTGTGAGTCACCGTTTCAATATGTTCCAACGTCTCCATGATATATTCTATAGTGGGCCTTCTATCTTTGTCTTGCTCCACGCAATCTGATGCAATTTTGATGCATTTCTTGACTTGCTGGCAATATTCTTCCACATGTGTTGATGTTCCCCCTATCCTTCCCCGCCAATTCATGTGTACCTACAGAATAGCATTTATACAGTTGATGATGAAGTACTATACACAATATGCTGATATCATTTACTATATATGTAAAAGATTGCATTATTCTTTATCAGATAATATTATCTTACAAGCTCAGTAAATTCTTGGGAAGACATATCTGAATATTTGGAGTAGCCTTGGGGTCCTGCAATTATTTGTATGATTGTGACACCTAAGCTGAATACATCATACTTCTTGGATATTGTGCCCCTTACTATGTATTCTGGTGGCATGAAGGGACTGCAAGGTACACAATGGTAAATATATTTTTGTAACAACGTTGATGAAATAAGTCGAACACAAGAGGTGCAACTTACTGTGATCCTATACGATCCACTGTGTTATGACTTTTTGTTGAAGCAACAAGTCTTGACAGACCAAAATCACAAATTTTTGGCATCCAGCTCTCATCCAATAATATGTTTGCAGGTTTTAAGTCCAGATGGTAAACTGGATCTTTGAGTCCATTATGAAGGAAATTTAAACCCTCAGAAACTCCCATGATTATTTTGTAACGTGTGTGCCAATCAAGTCCGCCGGATTCATCTGCAGAAGTTAACATAAAGCTGCATTACCAAGATGTATATTTACACTTCACAAAATGATGCTCTAGGTAAACCACGACCATACCAGAAAGATGTTTGTCAAGGCTTCCACGGCGCATGTACTCGAAGCAGAGAAATCTTTGTTCTGACTCAACATAAATATATCGTTCTTCGAGCAAAGTAACTTTATTATATACTTCATAGCAGTAGCCAATTAACTTGATAATATTTTGATGCTGGACACTCATAAGATTAAGAAGCTCATTGTCAAATTGCTTGCTATACGCAACACCAAGATATGGCATCAGATAAAGCTTTTTCACAGCAATTTCTACCCCCTCATATATCCCCTGTCAAAGACATATATGCTAAGCATGGGCTTCTTGTAGTTGTATCATTTAAAAAAAATAGAGAACCTAAGTATTGATCGTACCTTGTAAACTTCACCATAGCCACCATGACCAACCACTTGCTCCTCTGCAAAATTATTTGTAATTTCTTGTAACGACCGAAATGGAATGACCCTTGGCATTACAGTGACAAAATGTTGTAAATTGTTCGCCATGGCAGTCTATGTCGGCAGAGCTTCCACGTCCTACCTCTCTAAGAACTCAGAAATATTTTCAAATCAGTAACACAACAAGAACTTCAGGAAATCAATGAAGAAAAATTCAAAGCGAGCATCTTCTCACCGATCAACATTTCCAGACGTTACATCTGTACTATTAAAGGGAAATTAGTACCTTGTTTCGTCTCTCTCCAGCCCGCACCCCTTGCTCCATCCTCACCGCAGCAATTCTTTTCCCAATGAACCCCACCTCTCATTTCTTGTTTCTGATTTCTTATACCAAATTTTCTATCCCCAATTCATGGTATTTTTCTGACGTCCGTTCCTAGGTCGTCCTCCTCTCCCACACGTTAGTGCTCGAAATCTCATCTCCCGAAATCGTCTATTTTTGTCGCCCCGTCGACACTATTCATTTGAACACAGTATAAGCGCAGACACTCATACATACACACATACACTCTCCTCTATGAATGCACACCCTACCCATATGAGAACCTTCGGAAGAATGAGCCGGAAATCGATAAAAATGTGAGAACATGTGCCAAGTCTAGCAGTACCCTGATGGACTGATTTCACCACAACGAACCTAACCATCTGAGCTAGGCTCAATTCCCCCTATCTATACAAATAAAGGGGAATAGGTCGTTCGCTTCCTCGCCTCTAGGGTTTTCTCTCTCCTTCATTCCACCCCATCCGACATATTTATTTCCAATTTTAGTTGCCCGACAATACATCTCCTCATTCTGTAATATTGGAACTAATCATATTTTTGTTTGAAAAATTATAAATGTAATAACCCCACTGATTTATTTTCAATTTTATTTGCCCAAACATCACATCTCACATCAATTCACATCCCCACCCACTGATTTATTTCCAAACTTACTGAAAAAGGCTTTCGCCCCGCTTTATATATAAAGCAATGATCAACCATGGCCAAGTACAAACGCACGCCAACACAACATACGCACACACACAAGGCAGGTTACATAGGTGCCGAGCGCAGCAACACCACCCCTAGCACTACAACAGCACTACGACCTGCTCCATGCAGAAATCAACTAATCAATGAACAACTGTAAATAATCACAACTGAAGTCCTGAAATATACAAGTTGTTTCATATTAGTCACTGGTTTATGAACGAGCTCACCGAGATATACAAGTCGTTTCATATTAGTCACTGGTTTGGTTATATGCAGGTGTAACTACATGAAAATCACAGGTTGCAAGGAGATAGTGTTGTACTGCTCATCTGTACCATCGCTTGTGTGCCAACTGCCAAGCAGTGACAGCTGCCATACACCCTTTTGCCCTCTCCCTCCTGTGTCGTTCCCACGAGCGACCGGGAGGCTAACCCTAGCCGCCGCTGGGTTTCCCCCTCCCCTCTCCCTCCTCCCTTGCCGCTGCCAGAGGGCGCGGCCGGGCGAAGCCCGGTCGGCGCAGGCGACGACAGGGATGTTTTGTCTCCAAGCTCCGGAGGTGGATTGCGGGCCAGATCGAGCGTGCATGGACGCCGCGTTGGATGACGTGCGCGGCGGCGCTCCGGAGCAATCGGTAATTTCATCGTGGCGACGGTGTGGCGGGCGGCGTGGTGGCAGTACTTGCGTCGGGTTGGGACGGCGGCCGCTGTTGTTTGCGGCGATGCGGCCAGATCCGGTCTCAGGCGGAGCGGCCCGTGGGCGTCCCGTGCTGCGGGAGGCCGCCCCTACCATGGCCGTCGGCTAGTGGGGGTGGCGGCGCAGTAGTGGTGGTCGATGATGTCAGGCCCACTCCAACCCCAGGCCCTTCCCGCGTCGAGCATACGGCCTCGGGCGTGGGCCGACCCGCGAGGCGAAGGAAGCCCAACTCGCGGAACCAAGGCCCAGAGTGGGCGTGACCAAGCAGAGGCACCAACTACTTAAGGGCACACGCACAGAAGGCCAAACCATCCAGTGGATCATGGCACCCGGCGGCAGCGGCTCCCTGTTCCTCTCCCGATCCCCTTTCCATTCATGTACCACTCCTTGTAATCGCTACCCAGATACTCGAATTCATGAGCAAAGTGTAATAGATCGTGAGATTATTACCTGGGTGCTAACATCTGGTATTCAGAGCCTTGGATTTGACGCTGGCGCACCTCATCGAGACGCGGCGGCAAAAATCGATCAGAGATCGAATCGGCGCCATGGATCCCACCTTCAAGGAATATTTCGACAAGTTGACTTCCTCGCTGGACGGAATCCACGCGGATATCCGTTCGACGGCCGCCAAGTTGGAGGATCTCGTCGCCTGGCATCCGGAGCTGGAGCGGTGCGTCGATCGGCTCTCCACCGCGGTCGCCGAGCTCCAACACGCACGACCCACGGCAGAGGAGGAGCAGGCGCCCGCGCCCAAGGCTGCCCCGACAATCGCTCCCCTGCGCGACCCGACGGACGACAACAAGGGTCCGGAGGGCGGCGTCGCATCAGGGCCGATCGGCCACGGCATCGACATCCTACCGCGGGGTCTGGCACCGGCGTTCGCGTCGGTGTCCACCCCGGCCAACGGTCAGTGCGCTCTCCTGTCCCCTGCAACTCTGCCTTCTCCTTATGCTCATGCGAGCCAGTTGCTCGCAGGGATCGGCCAGACGCACCCATCCATTGTGTTTCCCCAATTTTCTGGCGAGAATCCACGCCTCTGGAAGACGCTGTGCGAGCAGTACTTTCACATGTTTGCGATTCAGGAAAATTTCTGGGTTCCCATGGCCACGCTCAACTTCTCGGGCACGGCCGCAGTGTGGCTGCAGTCGATTCAGAAGAAACTCTCTGAATTCGACTGGGAATCATTTTCTTCCTTGTTGTGCACCCGTTTTGGCAGAGATCGCCATCAACTCCTCATCTGCCAATTTTACACGCTTGCACAAACAACTACAGTGGCAGATTACATCGAACGATTTGAGCAAATTATCAGTCATTTGTCTGCTTATTCTGATTCAATTCACCCTTATTATTACCTCACTCGTTTTGTGGAGGGGCTTCGGGCGGACATAAGGGCGATTGTGCTGGTGCAACGACCGCCTGATATGGACACGGCGTGTGCACTAGCACTACTACAAGAAGAAGTGGCAGACGGCGGCACCTGGGAACGGCCTCGTCAACCCACCACGGCTCGGGCAGCGGACCTGGCGACGCGAGCGCACACGGGTGTTCCCATGCCACTCCCGCCCCCTCCTCCACAGGAGCGGCCTCCTACGACACCAGCCGCACCCGAGCGCCGGACCAACGGCACCAACCGCGGCGACAATTCCAAGATCAAGGCGCTGCGCGAGTACCGGTGAGCACGTGGCCTTTGCTTTAAATGTGGCGAGCGTTGGGAGCAGGACCATACTTGCCCCACGAGCGTGCAGCTCCATGTTGTCGAAGAGCTGCTGGAGCTCTTCGGCATGGAGGGGAGCGAGGAGATTCCAAGCGGCCCAACCGAAACAGTGATGGCAATCTCACGGCAAGCTCTCACGGGGGCACCCCTCCGAAGGCCGTTAAACTCCAAGCATGGCTCCAAGGCCGCGCTATCCTTCTCTTGGTTGATTCCGGCAGTTCAACCTCCTTCATCGACGCGTAGTTGGCAGCCTCGCTGTCCGGAGTTGTCCAGCTCAACCGTCCTTGTCGAGTCAAGGTGGCTGATGGGGGGGAGCTCTATTATGTGTCGCACATACCCAAGTGCCGCTGGTCCATCCAGGAGCAGGAGCTCAGCACGGACATGAAAATCCTTCCGTTTGGGGGTTTATGATGCCATTTTGGGCATGGACTGGCTCGAAGGGCACAGCCCCATGAATGTGGATTGGCGCGGCAAGCAGCTATGGATCACCACTTCGACAGGGACAGTGCACCTTCAGGACCAGATCGAGGGGGTTACGAGCTGCACGGAGATCAACAGTCTGCAACTGCAATGCATGCAACGTCAGGGAGAAGTGGCACAGGTCGTACAGTTGTACCAGGTCTGCGAATCAGATGAGATCTTCACCCCAACCCCAGGCAACGTTCAGGCAGTGATTGATCAATTCAAGGACATCTTTGAGGAGTCAAAAGGGTTACCACCAAGGCGTGCGTGTGATCACCGCATTCCACTCATGCCGGGAGCGCAACCAGTGAATCTGAGGCCTTACCGTTACAAACCAGAGCACAAGTCAGAGATTGAGAAGCAAGTTAAGGAGCTGTTGGATCAAGGCGTCATCCAGAAGAGTCACAGTCCCTTCTCGTCACCAGTGATCCTGGTCAAGAAGAAAGACGGAACATGGCGGCTTTGCATCGATTACCGCCACTTGAACGCTATGACAGTGGTTGGCAAGTACCCGGTGCCGGTGGTCGAGGAGCTACTAGACGAGTTACATGGTGCTCACTGGTTCTCAAAACTAGATTTATGTGCAGGCTACCACCAGATTCGCCTGGCAGAGGGGGAGGAGTACAAGACGGCCTTTCAAACTCATACAGGTCATTTTGAGTTCTTGGTGGTCTCGTTCGGGTTGGCTGGAGCCCCGGGCACCTTCAATGGGGGAATGACAGAAACCTTACATCCCCTTATCAGAGAGTGTGTGCTGGCGTTCTTCGACGACATCCTTGTCTTCAGCAAAACACTACAAGATCATGTTCAGCATCTGCAGCAGGTGTTCAGTTTGCTCCGGTGCGACCAATGGAAAGTGAAGATGAGCATCTGCAGCATCTGTACCAAGGACTGTCCACTTATGAGAAGGAGTACCTCGCAATCATCGCGACAGTCGATCAATGGCGGCCTTACTTCAAGTCAGCAAAATTCTTTATCAAGATTGACCAACGCAGCTTGGTGCACTTACAAGAGAAAAGGCTGGTCACCCCATGGCAGCAGCGAGCCTTTACTAAACTCCTCGAGTTGCAATACCGTATCGTCTACAACAAAGGATCAGAGAACGGGGCCGTGGATGCTCTTTCTCGGCTGCCCAAGGCAGAGGCACTGTTTGGGATCTCCACTTGTCAACCAGCGTGGTTGGAAGATGTACTCGCAAGC